ACCCGCCCTCCCCGCCTGCCCGGACCGCTCCGCTCGGTTTCTGGCCGTAGCCCCCTTCTCATTTGGGCGCCAGCCCTTCTCCACCCTGGCCTGTCCCGCTTCACCTCCGGTCCTGTGGGCATTAGGTCGGGCTCTCTTCCCCGCCCGGCTGTGCATTTTCATCCTGGCACGTCCCCTGGCTTTGCATCTAAGGGGTGTCTTCTCTCACCCTTCCGCAGCAGCCTCTAGAGCAGCGGTTCTCAACCTTCCTAATGCCGCGGCCCTTTAATACAGTTCCTCATGTTGTGGTGACCCCCAACCATAAAATTATTTTCGTTGCTACTTCATAACTGTAATGTTGCTACTGTTATGAATCGTAATGTAAATATCTGATATGCAGGATGTATTTTCATTGTTACAAACTGAACATAATTAAAGCGTAGTGATTAATCACAAAAACAATATGTAATTATATATGTGTTTTCCGATGGTCTTAGGCGACCCCTGTGAAAGGGTCGTTCGACCCCCAAAGGGGTCGCGACCCACAGGTTGAGAACCGCTGCTCTAGAGTCTAGGGTCCCTTGGCCCCCCCCACCCCCAACACACACACACTGCGCCCCTTCGGCCGCGCTGGGGCTGGGAGGGGAGAATTTGTCTAGAGGCGGCTGGAGGAAGGGCCCAGCCCTGCTCACCCCTCGGGTCTCTCCTCCTCCTCCCTCCCCGCTGCGACCCCCAGGACGGAGGGCCTTTCCTAGGACCCTCTCTCCACGGCACATCTGTGGGAGAGGAGGGACGTACATTCGGGAGAGAGTGGGACCTGGGCGTAGGGCTGGGGTGTTAAGTTGGGAGGACAGGCTGTGAATGCAGGCTCCAGCTGTGCAGACTACCCATCCTTTTCTTGGCTCCAAGGAGAAAGGCAAGCCTGGCAGCCATTCCTCTCTGAGGAGGTCTGGGCGAACCCCACCAACCGGCTGCCCAAGCTGCTGAGGGGACGAGGGAACCACTGCCCCCCGCCCCCTGCGGTGTCCTCCCGCCTCAGAGCTGGATCTTACCCCGCCCCGCACCGCAGTGACCTCCCCTTCCTCACTGCAGTGACCTTCTCCTTTCCCCCTGGAAGGGGTGGGGGAATCCCTTCTCCAGCCGGTGGTAGCCGCCTGCTCCTCCCCACCCCCACCCACTGCAGTCACCTCTTTCCCATCCTCCTAGCCTCTGGCCCCTCCCACGATCTCAGGCTCCACCCCTCTAAGCCTCTTACCTTTCTCCTTACTTCCCTTCCACCCAAGGAGATCCCAGCCATCATGTCGATAACGAAGATCTGGGCCCGGGAGATCTTGGACTCCCGTGGAAACCCCACTGTGGAGGTGGATCTCTACACTGCCAGAGGTACTGAGCTGGCCCGGACCGAGCCCGCCCCGACCCCCACCCCGACCCCCACCCGGACCCCTCAGTGCTGGGTTCGCCCTGGCCTGGGAGGGGAAGCTTCCTTGATTCCCAGCAGGGATGGGGTGCTGGGTCAGGCTCTTGGCCTGGATTGTGGGGGTTGGATGCTGTTGTCCAGGGGAGCCAGGATAGGCAGGCCTCCGTGTTCTAGTTTAGTGTATGACACATGCCCTGCCTCTGCATGTTTGTGTATGCACCTGTGTGTGAACATATGAGTGCATAACTTCATTTCTCTGGGTTCCTACTGGTGCATGTGGGAACTCAGTTGGATGGATAAGGAGGCCCTTGCTTGTGTGTGTGTGTGTGTGTGTGTTAGGGAGCAGTGTGTGCATGTGTGTATTACTATTAGGGAGCTGTGTGTATCTCTCTGTGTGTATTAGCAGCAGTGTGTGTATTATTAGGGAGCAGTGTGTATATGTGTGTGTGTATTAGGGAGCAGTGTGTGTGTGTGTGTGTGTGTTAGGGAGTAGTTTTGTATTAGGGAGCTGTGTGTATCTCTCTGTGTGTATTAGCAGCAGTGTGTATATATGTGGGTGTATTAGGGAGCTGTGTGTGTGAGAGAGTGTCTGTGTGTGTATTAGGGAGCAGTGTGTGTGTATTAGGAAGTAGTGTATTAGGGAGCTGTGTGTGTATTAGGAATAGTATGTGTGTATTAGGGAGCAGTGTGTGTGTGTGTGTGTGTGTGTGTGTGTGTGTGTGTTGGGAATAGTGTGTGTGTGTATTAGGGAGCTGTGTGTATATATGTGGGTGTATTAGGGAGCTGTGTGTATGTGTGAGTGTCTGTGTGTATTAGGGAGCAGTGTGTGTGTATTAGGAAGTAGTTGTGTATTAGGGAGCTGTGTGTATCTCTGTGTGTGTATTAAGAATAGTGTGTGTGTATTAGGGAGCAGTGTGTATTGTGTGTGTTAGGAGCAGTGTGTATATATGTGGGTGTATAAGGGAGGTGTGTGTATGTGTGTGTATTAGGGAGCACTGTGGGGAAAGGGCTGGATGTGGCAGGCAGGAGTTTAGAGCTGGAGGCTAAAGGGATCCCTGGTCCCTGGTGTCTTTCTCTCTTCCTCCTCACTCCATGTTCCTCTCCCAGGTCTTTTCAGGGCCGCAGTGCCCAGTGGAGCCTCCACTGGGATTTATGAAGCCCTGGAGCTAAGGGATGGGGACAAACAGCGTTACTTAGGCAAAGGTGAGGCCTTCTCTCTTTCCCAAACTCTCCCACCCCTCAGCTTTATATTCCGACCTTACACCAGTCCCTAAGCCTCTTCTTGCATCCCCCCCTTTCCCTCTGGCCCCTCCTGGCCTGACCCAGCCTGGCCTCTTTGCCTCTTCCCAGGTGTCCTGAAGGCCGTGGACCACATCAACACAACCATTGCACCAGCCCTCATCAGCTCAGTGAGGCTCACTCTTTGCTGGGGATGGCAGGACCAGGGCCCTAGAAGGAATCCTGGGCCAGGGGAGGAGAAGTGGGGGGGAAGGCCCACCCCTTGGGAATCATGGTTACTAAGGGAAGGTGGGAAGATGACCCCTTACTGTCCTCTGCTCCCATGGGGGCTCAAGTCCCCTGATCCAGACAGGCTGCTGTCGCAGGAACCTGGTTGGACCCTGGCTGGATGTGAGCCTGTGTGAAGGGGGGCCCTGTGTCTTAGGGCCCAGCCTCCATTCCGGCCCTGGGTGATGGTGGCTCTGCCTGCAGGGTCTCTCTGTGGTGGAGCAGGAGAAGCTGGACAACCTGATGTTGGAGTTGGATGGGACAGAGAACAAATGTAAGCAGGGGCCGGGAGAAAGTGGGGAGGCCGAGGGTGGGGAGGTGTGGAGCAGAGAGAACTGAAGGGGCCAGCGCTGTGGGAGCTTCCTGAGGATGGACTTTTCATCCTACCCTCAAAATCAGAGCAGGAGAAGATGAGTTTAACTGCAGTTGGTGTGTGTGTGTGTGTGTGTGTGTGTGACATTAGACCATTAGACCGAGGAAGAACTTCTTTGAAGCATAAAGGGGAGGGAGTTGGCATGAGATAGTCTGATCTTGGGGTGGTTAGAAATAGACGCAGCTCTCTGCCCTTTCCTGTCACCTCGTCCCCAACTCCCCCGCTATTTCAGGAGAGAATGGACTAGATGTTGCGCAGAGGAGGGAGGAGGGGGGTCTCCTCTATTGCCTCCTTTGGGAGTATAGGTGGTGTCGGGCTAGAAGAGGAAGGAGACATTTTTGCTTAGTGCCTTCTTCTGTCATCTCCCAGCCAAGTTTGGGGCGAATGCCATCCTGGGTGTGTCCTTGGCCGTGTGTAAGGCAGGGGCAGCCGAGCGGGAATTGCCACTATATCGCCACATTGCTCAGCTGGCTGGGAACTCAGACCTCATCCTGCCTGTGCCGGTGAGCACCCCACCATGCCTGTACCTCTCCCAGGGGTGGGGTCCGGGGGAGCATGAAACCTTGTGAAGACTGATGGGAGGACAGGGAATTGGGGTAGCTAAAGAGAAAGGATGGGGACATGAGACTCAGAGTCTGGGAAGCTGGGGGGGGCGGTGGGATTTGGGATCTTGGGTGGATGCTCCCAGGGGCAGAAAGGAAAATGCTCGGTGACTGTCTGTCCTGTGGCTCCCAGGCCTTCAACGTGATCAATGGTGGCTCCCATGCTGGGAACAAGCTGGCCATGCAGGAGTTTATGATCCTTCCGGTGGGTGCCGAGAGCTTTCGTGATGCCATGCAACTTGGGGCGGAGGTCTACCACACGCTCAAGGGAGTCATCAAGGACAAGTATGGCAAGGATGCCACCAATGTGGGAGATGAAGGCGGCTTTGCCCCCAACATCCTGGAGAACAGTGAGGGTGAGACCAGGATCCCCACTCCCAGCTCTGAGTCTCACTTCATCCTGGGCCATTGGGAAGGGCCACATACTTCACCACATCCTGAGGAGTATGGGTGGTGGTCCTTGACTCCTGCTAGCTCCAGAGGGCCTGCCAAATTCACATGCAGGCCGGGAAGAGCAGTCCTCACCTGCCCAGCCAGGTTCCTTAGCGACTATAAGTTCTCACCGAGCCCCTGGAAGTGCTGGAAGGTGGTCTAGGGCCAAATTCACATGCAGGCCGGGAAGAGCAGTCCTCACTTGCCCAGCCAGGTTCCTTAGCGACTATAAGTTTTCACCGGAGCCCCTGGAAGTGCTGGAAGGTGGTCTAGATCTCCTGTGGGATCCATGCCAGCCTTTAACTCCATAGGGTTCTCAGTTTGATGAGATATACCAAACTCTACGTAACCTATTCTAAATCTATCCCACTCTCACCCCAACTTCGTAGGCCTTGAGGATCTCTAACTTTTTCTGCCCTGGGAGAAACTGTATAGTGAATAGAAACAAAACCCAAAACTGGTAGTGGCTAAGAGTTAAGGTTCTGAGGCCAAAACTGCCTGCCTTTGAACCTTGACTTGAAGACTTACTGGCTGGCGATCTTTCTTACTTATTTTGTCCATGCTTTGTCTTTAAAAAAAATATTTTTATTGATTTCAGAGAGGAAGGGAGAGGGATAGAGAGAAACATTAATGATGAGAGAATCATTGATCAGCTGCCTCCTGCATGCCCCCTATTGGGGATCCAGCTGGCAACCTGGGCACGTGCCCAGACCTGGAATGGAACCTAGGTCGACGCTCAACCACTGAGCAACACCGGCCAGGCCATGCTCTGTCTTTCTTATCTGTAACAGGGGAACACTAATAACAGTATCTACTTCATAGCATCGTCGTGAGGATTAAATGAGATCATATATGTAAAGTGCACAGTTAGCCCTCAATAAATGATAGCTATTTAAAAAACACTGTTATTAACCGAAGGCATCCTCTGCCTTCCTGGGAGGTGGCCTGCTCTTCCCAGACCTGGGGATAACCCTGACCAGAACCTTAGCCAGACTCCTCCGTAGCAAGTGCTCTACCACAGCCCCTAATTTCTTCCTCTCTCTCCTTCCTCCTTGTCTGCCCTTCCTGCTAATAATCTCGCTGTGTTTCATCCCCAGCCTTGGAGCTGGTGAAGGAAGCCATTGACAAGGCTGGCTACACGGAAAAAATTGTCATTGGCATGGATGTCGCTGCCTCAGAGTTTTATCGTGATGGCAAATATGACTTGGATTTCAAGTCTCCTGCTGACCCTTCCCGATACATCACTGGGGACCAGCTGGGGTCCCTCTACCAGGACTTTGTCAGGGACTATCCTGGTGAGAGCAAGGCTGGGTATGGAAGAGAGTGCAGGGGGCGGGCAGCAGGACCTTATGGGATGCCACCTCAGGTGCCAGGTGCAGGTATCCTAAGAAGAGACTGAGAACCAGGGATGGGGTGAAGTCTCCTGCAGAGCCTGGGCTTTGTATGGAGTCAATGTGCAGGTCCCTATGATGAATTTGTTCCATCTGCTTCAGCTCCTGATTAAAGTCATGTGCTCGGAAGCTTCTGGGGTCATGGGGAAGGCTTTGGAAGAAACCAGGGATGGTGAGGTGACTGGATCTGGCAGGGAACCAGCCATTTCAGTGTTTTTGATTGATAAAATTGTGGATGCTGAATGGAGCTGGAAGTGATGTGAGAATAGAAGGCTGATGAGGAACTGAATTATCCTTCAGTTCTACCAGAGCTTTAGATATAAATTGCAGAATGAAGGATTTTGATTAGTAATGAGGAAGGGCTTCCTGGTAGTGAAAATGTGAACATGCAGATAGGTTGTGAGAAAGATTCGGAACCCTTGTGTTTTGAAAGTTTATGAATGAATCAAGGTAAGACTCAGTTAGGGCAGGCTTATTGGGGGATGGGGGAAGCCAGGAGGAGCAGCTCAGTTAGCCAGGGGATCTGGCTATTTCAGGGAATCAAAGTGTGTGTGTGGGGGTTCCTGCCTGGTGCAGAGCCCCAGAGAAGATCAACAGCCCCTTCACCCCTCTCCCTCAGTGGTCTCCATTGAGGACCCCTTTGACCAGGATGACTGGGCTGCCTGGTCGAAGTTCACGGCCAATGTAGGGATACAGATTGTGGGTGATGACCTGACAGTGACCAACCCAAAGCGTATCGAGCGGGCACTGGAAGAAAAGGCCTGCAACTGCCTGCTGCTCAAGGTCAACCAGATCGGTTCAGTCACTGAAGCTATCCAAGCGTGAGTGCCTCCTGGTTCTCTCCTGCTCAGCCCGTTTCTCAGGACCCCTCTTGCAAGGGCTCTACGCCCAATCCTGCCCACAGATGCTGAAGAAAGCAGGGGACCTAGAGTCACCTTCATAGCCCTCAGTTCTGCTCCCTCCGGGTTCCGAACAGATTCTCTGCTTCCTTCCCAGACAGCTTCCCTCCATATGTTTCTTAACATAAACCAATGTTGGGGCTGGGAAGAGTGCCCAGTGTGAGGGGCTGGGGGTCAATGCTGGTGTGTGGATACAGGTGCAAGCTGGCCCAGGAGAACGGCTGGGGGGTCATGGTGAGTCATCGCTCAGGGGAGACTGAGGACACCTTCATCGCAGACCTGGTGGTGGGGCTGTGCACAGGCCAGGTGAGTGCAAGGGAGATCTTTGTGCAATTGGTGGGTTCTAGGCTCAGGTGGGTCTCTCCTTCCAGGTGTTTGGGGGTGTCGGAGGAATTTCAAGGGAGTGAACGTTTCCTTTAAAGAAATGAAGGGGCAGCCACTGAGCCGCCCATCTTTCCTGATGTTTCAGATCAAGACTGGTGCCCCGTGCCGCTCTGAGCGTCTGGCTAAGTACAACCAGCTCATGAGGTGAGGGAACCTGGGGGATGGGAGCCCAGGGCTCAAGGTTAGAAGCTCTGTTTGCCCACCGTTCCATATCCAGAGAAGAGTTCTGAAGGACGGGTTGACTAGTGGCCTGATGGATGGATCCCACAGGTCACGTGGGAGAGCCAGAGAAGGCCCACACTTGGGCCAGGGCACAGGAGCGGGTGGTGTGAGGGGCTAGGAGACTGAGGACCTCCTGCTCCCCTGACGTTTCCTTTCTGGCTCATTTCTCTCAGAATTGAGGAAGAGCTGGGAGACGAAGCTCGCTTTGCCGGACACAATTTCCGCAATCCCAGCGTGCTGTGATCCCTCTACTCTCCTGGAGACTGGGACCCCCTCCACCCTCCTGGAACCCCTTCCTGTCCTGCTCTGTGATATTTCACCCCAGACACCCCAGCTGACCTGCCCCACGGCTCCTGGGCTTGTCCCACCCCTGCTGTCTCTACTCTCCCCCTCTGGGTTCCACACTCTTCACTTCTCCTCCCTTCCTTTTCTCTCTCCTCAAAGACTGGCCACAGGACTGAGGATTATAAGGGGGTCCGTGGAAGAATGATCAGGGTCTGTGACGGGAGCATCAGGGTTGGCTGCTGAGGTGTTCAGGGAGGGGCCCTGGGTCACTTGTGCTTTGCACCTGTTCCATGTGTTTTCCACGTTGCAGATGAGCCAGGCACTGCATGGTGCTGAGGTGGAGGGAGGTGCTGGCTGCTGGGCATGCCTGCCCTAAGGTTTTAGTGTGTTATTATTTATTTATTTATTTATTTATTTTTCACTCATCCTGTTGATGATTCATTTCCTCATGACTCCAGGGCCAAAAACTGGCCTGACTGGAGGGTACTATGTATTTCATATGGCTATAGATTCTGAGATGGTCTGGGATGGAAGTCTTGCTGGAATGCTGAAGGGAACAGAAAAAGGCCTTGCTGGCAGTTCCTTTGTGTGTAGCAACCCTTCACTGAAGCCTGGCTGGGGCCAGAGATGGGGCTGTGCACCTGGGGACTCTTCCCCGGAACTCTCTTCCCAGCCCTACCTTCCCTGTTCTTTCTCCAGCTGCCCCAGAGCAAGGTCTTGCTCCCACCATGCCATGTTCCACAGTTCCCACCACCTCTGACATTGAAATGAGCACCACCATTAAAGTCTGAATCACAGTGCATTATTGTGTCCGAGGAGTCTGACTGTAGTTCATATGAGGGGAGAGAAGATGGTGAAACTGGATAGCAGAGCTGGGGAGGGCACAAGAGGAGGAAGACAAATAGAACAAATATGGCCAAGATGATGACATTGCCTACCCCACCCCACCAGGTGAGGGCCACGCTGCCCCTGCCTTCTCAGCAGCAAGCTTGGCCCCAAGATCCAGGTGAATGAGCAGTTCCTAATCTGGTGCAGGAATTCTTCAAATCACCAAAAATGTGTGTATGTGCATTTTGAAGGAGAGGTGGCCACAGTGTTTTCAGATTCCCAAAGAGCCTTGACCAGAGAAGGGATAAATCTGTGAACTAGAGCAGCTCCCATACTGGGCCTCTCCAAACCCCAATCCTGGCTGCTTTGGGGATGGAACAGCATTGCATGGCCACCACTCCCTGCAAGGTGGGGAACCAGGAGGGAAGCCTGGTACCAGGGGCTGAGGGAAAAGGCCTCCAGTAAACTGGAGATTCAGCTCCCCACAGCTGGGTCAGCCTGCAAGTAGGGTGCCAGTGTGTGGCTGAAGATACACTACAACTCTTCAGCTCCTGTGGAGCCCCAGCACTGAGATGGGAACCCAGGAACCACCCAGGGGGAGAACCCCCTCAGTGCTTTGAACACTAGGGGCTGTGGAAAGCTGTGGCCACTAGAGGGAGGCAAGGTTCCGCAGGACACGGTACAGCCCGGCTAAAGGTAGGTGGGAGGGATTTCAAGGTTGTTCCCTCTGTGGGCCTCCCACTCCGTTTCCGAGTTCTGGTCCTGGGATCCCTCTGCCATCCCGCCCAGCTCCAGGACAAGAAGATCCCAGTTCTGCATGGGCAGAACCCATTTCCCGGCCCTGTCCTTCCTGTGTCGCTGACACGTCCTCCATTTGAGTTCAAAGAACTTGCACCCTCTCCTCAGTGCCTCTTCATTTCAGTGCGGGCATCTCATCTTTCCCTTCTCTCCTGAGTCTCCTGGCGCCTTTTCTGTTTCCCTTGGGGCACACTACACTTTCCGTTGGGCCTCTTGGTTTTCCCTGGGGTGCGTTAGACTCATTTTTCCTTAGTAACTCCTGGACTAACCAGGCCTATTCTGGTTGGAGCCACATTGTCTAACCTCTGCCCCCTTTCTCCCTCCTTACTAAGTCACCTTCTCTGCAGCCATGCCCCCCCCCCCAGGTACTGGGTAGATTGAGTTACAGCTGGCTCTGCCTGGGTTTCCCAGGCCCTTCTCTCCACTTTCCCTTTGTGCCGTTGCCTGGAGACCAGTGGGTCCTGGGGGGCTGGGGGTTGAGAGGGAGCTGGGGTGAGGGGTGGTGGTGGTGGTGGTGTGTGTGTGATGCTCCTGAAGCTGAACTGTCAGCCTGGCCCTCAGGTAGGGGAGGATTTGGAGGGTGGAGGCCCTGGCTTTTCTCCGACTCTCCCCCATCTCTGTTCCTACCGATGCTTAAGTTTTTCTTTTAGGCTTAGATGTGTCACCATCCTCATTCACCCCTTAGTGGTTGAAAAAACGAGAGAGAGCTCAGCCTGGAAGGGAATTGGAAAAGGCCTCGGCCAGGATCCAGTGGGAGACTAAACTGAGAGGTGCAGAGAGAGAGGAAATGCAATAGGGAGGGGGAGGAGGGAGGAGGAGGAGGAGGAGTCTTGGAGCAAAGTTGGGAGGTGGGGAGGAGCAGGAGCTATTCTAGGGTACTGGGAGGGGGGCAGGCGGCTGGGGGGTGGGGGAAGTTGGCCTTGGCTCTTGAAGGCCCTGAGGAATAAGGAAGGTGGGCCCGGTGGTAAAGTGTCAACCAATTTAAGAGACAAAAGGGTGGTGTGATTCTCTCCTGGGCCAAGGAAACCTCTTGTTCAGGGTCCCCAGTGCTTTAGAATCCGGTTGGAGCTTTTGGGTATTCCTAGAACTTGGCTGAGCCCGGCCCAAGGAAATATAAGGCAAAATCTACTGAGCTGATACAGAGCCAACCTCCTTCCCAGAAGGCTGGCGGGATCCTGCCGTTCAGGGCCCACCCTTGGCCTCTAGCTGTCCTGGCCTCACACATACCCTACCCCCACCCCAAATCTGGAGAGCTGTTGAGGGCTCCCAATCCAGACTCCAGCCCCAGCTCTTCCTGTTTCCCAGCCTGCCTCCCTCCCATTCTCTGGCAATCTCAGCTGCCAAAATCCAACCAGTGTCTTGGTGTCCTTTGTCCTGGGAGATGTTGCTGCTTGGTGTGGGGCAGGGAGCCAGCCCAGAAGAAGACACTGGTGGTGGGCTCTGGGGTGCTGCAGGCCTCGAGGCTGAAGACGGGAAGGCTGGCAGTGCGGAGGCTGCCTGGAGAACAGTGTGGGAGAAGGAAGAGCCGCCCGCCTGTGGCGGGGGTTGTCTCCACATTAGAATGATTGGGATTAGGGAACCGGGGCACCTAGGGATTTGGCTCAGTTTGGAGACTAATCCCTACCCCATCCCTTCCCTGGGGCCCAAAGTCCCAGTGATGACTTCAAAGGAGACACCACTAGACAGAGGGCGAGGATGGTGGCCCACTCCTCCGAATTAATCTCTTCCCTACACCAGAGCTGCCCTCCCCGTTCCTATCATTTCCTTCTCCTTTCCCTTCCACTGTCTTCTGCATCACTGACCTTCCCTCTTCCATACCCGCCACCAAAGGCCTTGTTTATCTCACCTGCCCTTCCAATCCTCATGCCTCTCCATTCTATCTACCTGGTCTTGCCAACCCAAATCCTCAGCTCTCCTGGAAACCCTCCACCCCCGGACCCAGCCATCCCTGTGGTCCACCCTCCTTTCCCACCCAGCACCCCAGCACCCCTAGAAAACGCGCCTGGCCCCGCCTCCGTCATCGCTAAGGTTTCTCATGCATTCCTTTCTCCGAGCTGACATCTCTGAACTTGTCTCTCCATCACCCACAAATTCTTGTTTCCTATTCTTTTCCCAACACCAGTCACCCCCAAACTCTGCTCTCTTCCAGAAACCCCGTCCTCCTACGTGTCTCCCATTCCTTCCATTTCTTCCCCACCTTATGGCCCCAAACTTCCATCCCATTCTCGCACGATCGCCTCCCCAACCTCCCCCCCATGTCTGCCACAGACGCCTCCCCCCAGCTTCTTTCTTCTCGTCACACCCTCCCCGGCCCGAAGCCCCCGCAGCTCAGCTTCCCGGTCTCCCCGTCACCCCTCTGCCTCCCCACCTCCCGCCCACCTCGGCCACGGCCCCTGGGCGCCCAAA